TTATAGCCAGAATGAAGAAATTAATTTGCAGTGGCTAAACCTACCGTCCCTCAGCTTTTGTTGTTCTTTTCACATTCTCTCTGCCGCCCCTCTGCCTATTCCAACTTTTAACCCACCCGTCCCGTTTTTTTTTGTGTGCGGGCGCTGCCTCTGCCTCTGCCGCGAGTCTGCAGTGTGTGGGTCTAGGGAAGGGGGAGAGCTAACGAAGAGCGTGTTGGCGTGAGAAGTGTTGTAGATGTAGATGACAAATGAAGAAAAACGGTAAAATTTGACGAAACACCGCTAAGGTGCAGATGTAGTACTGAGTGCCGGGTATAAAAGTTGTGACGCGTAAGAAGCGTCTCATACGTCCCTTCTCGTTTTAGATACACTTGTATCAGTGTGATATCATAAAATTTGGTTGCCAAGTCTCTGAGAATTAGCCGACAAACAAGGCGAATAGACCGGTGGAAATAGTCTTTGCTATTGTTGCTGATCAAGAATATATGTATGGATTTACATCAAGGGCCGGAAACAGGAACAGTTTGTTGAAAAGTTCGTGTGTCACATACACCAGCTTTTGCGCAGAAATACAATATACCCTATTTTTTTAATTACTTATTTCTCATCCACGAAGGGCTAGTGAATAGAAAATAATATATATAGCAAACATTTTATTAAAAATGGTTATTCTAGGCAAAACCCATATAATAAGACTTTATTTACATCACACCACAAATTCCAAAAACAATAATTCTCATTTTTTATTAAAGTTATGACTGTTAGGACACAAATGATTTTCCCATATGTAAAACCATTTTGTGTGAAAATCCGGATATTGTACATTTAATGGTTTCTAAAAACATTTTAATATTCTCCCAAGTAATATTGTTAGCTCCTTTTAATTTTATTGAAAGCTTAAATAAATTTGTGTGCAGCTTATTTTAATTCAAAACTTACATTAGTATGTATATGTATGTACATATAAAAATAATTAAATGCATTCAACAAATACCGCACCCATTAAAACCAGATTTTTTATCTTAGACAACAAAACGATGAAGCTGATTTGTAGTCCTGGACTTTTCGCCAAGAACACTTGATTCAACTTTGTTGTCGCCGCTATTGTCTTTTATGTGATTATCCATAAGTAACGCGTTTGGTGACCTTCGATGTAACAATGACACAGCCGGTTTCAATCGTCGCGACATTCCTTTTTTTCCCTGAGGAATAAATTATTCAAATTAGTTGATCATTTAAAACTATCAAACAATTCATACCAATCGTGCCTTCTTGGACTTGGATTCCATAATTAGATTATTCGCTACCTGAAACAGCTTTTCTGCATGCAATATTAAAACGTTAGTCAATCGACTACACTGTGCTGCCATCTTCACTTGCTCTTCAATACTGTTTTTGTCTATCGGATGTATGAATCGTGGCGGAAAGAAAGATGGAGCGATAATCGTGGATACGTTGTGTAGATTCATTTTGTTTGTATCTTTTAGTTCAGTTATACAATTTAAAAAGCGTAGGAGCGAACGAAGGGTGTTACGGTTTTCATGTGGTAGCAGCTGACACACAATCGATAAGGCTCTCTTTTGATCCATCGATGGAAGTTTGTGACATTGATAAAATAGCTGAATAAGCTCATTGGTAAGCAACGGCTGAGGGAGCTCACGCAGCCAACGCTTAAGCAGAGCGCTGAGTTCATGAACTGTAGCAGTGCCAAGAAGTTGCGAAAACTTTCCTGGCTTTTGATAAAAGCTTGATTCTAATTCGTTGTAAAGTATTTCAGTCTGTAATATTGAGATAGTATGTGTAAATATAGTTTTTATAACGTAAAAATAATCTCCAGAATCACCTTATTTTTGTGTCCAGCTATTCGTAGTATACCCTCTTCCCTGGAGCCACGCCTTATCAGTTCGGCAAGCAAGCTTTCTAAAAACAGTGGAACTAATGTCGAATCCTGACCAGTAACTTGCTGATCACGACGTATAAGAGCATTCAGGGATACTCCAAAAAGACTACCCTCCTCCTTACGACGACGTTTAAATGGCTTTCGTTTATCTAAGGACACCTGGTTGCGATCGAATATTGTGGCCAACTCTAACCAAAAAATAGGTTGAAGACGTTTCAGATCGGTCTCACTAATCGAATCGATATCCGAGCAACAATTTAAATCAACATCATAAATGTCTAATGCTTCTTCTCCAACTATACTAGAAGTATCGCGACAAATACTTTCGAAGCTTAAACCTTCCCGGGACAGTGGTAAATTTTGGACACTCAGAGATTTTGCCTGAACCAGGTCCATTATTTTTGATGAAGAGGTATTCCTATTCATGGGACACTCGTCGCTTGAATCTCCGGAAGATGTGTGTTCGCTTTGCGAGTCCCTCAGGAGCTGACCCCGAGAGCGCCTTAAAAAAAGTCACGAGGTGTAAGGAATTAGTTATACCAAATTAAAGCTTTAACAACAACTTACCCAACCGAGCAAGATGGATCAGAGCCGGATCGATTTCGTGGTAAGTGCATAGTGCCAATCCGCGAGTACCCAAGTAACTCAACGCCGTCTGCCGAATGCATAGGTATGTCACAGCGTACGTGCGATCCGCGGAATATATCCATAGATGTGGAACTTTTAAGCGGAGCACTTGGTGTCCGTCGTAGCTTCTGCCTTAAGTGTTTTGCTACATATGGTTGCACAATGTCAATGCCACTGTTGTTTTCAAGAACACTTGCAAAACTGGGACTAAGAAAAATGTCCATAAAATTGAATGTAAAATTGATTCCATCAATTAACTTACATAGAAGTGTTGCTCCAAACTTCCTCGCCTTGTATGGAATCCAGTGAGTCCGGTGTTGCACTTCGAGAGCGTGTTCCCGTACTAGACTCCTTTTCAAATTTTGCAATTGTAATTAAATTTAATTTTAATTTTAATTTTAAATTTTAAATAATACTTACATCAAAGTCCCGAAATACATCTCGAATATCAGGCTTTCGCTTAGATCGATTTTTGGTGCGCCCGCGTACTGTTTGATTCAAAGCCCGAACCCGTTGTTTAATGACGTCAGCATGTGGTTTTGAAAGTGTAGCGAGTATATGCTCAAGTTCAGTAGTGCGTAGTTCGAGCCCCTGTATTATCATAATAGTAAGTAACAAAATAATAAACCAACTATCTTTATCAATTATTTTTACAAATGCCACAACTAGAAAAAAAAACGAGAAGGGACGTGTGAGACGCTTCTTAAGCGTCACAGCGTTTATACACGGTACTCAGTAGAACAACTGTACATGAACTTTTTTTTTCAAATTTTACACCAACACGCTCCTTAGCTCGCGCCCCTTCCCTAGAGCCACACACTGCAGAGTCGCGGAAGAGGCAGAGGCGCGGCAGAGACAGAGGCCGCACACTGCAGAAGCCGAGTGTGAATGAGATAATGTAAAAAAACAACAAAAGCTGCGGGAAGGGGTGGGTTTAGCCACTGCAAATTAATTTCTTCATTCTGGCTATAATAAGGGTCCAATTGGATCCCAGTCATCCAATTGCAGCATCAATATCCGAGTCGATATAGTCCGTCCGTCCGTCTTGTTGACGTGATTGGTGATTTTTTGAAATATTACATTTTACATTTTACAGTAGGGACTGACGGACAAACAGACATGGCTCTATCTACTCGGCTATTGATGCTGATCAAGAATATATATACTGTGTGGGGTCGGAAACTTTTCCTTCGGTGCGTTAGATACATCCACTTTTCCCCACAAATACAATGTACCCTATTCTTGATCAGCATCAATTGACGATTCGATAGAGCCATGTCTGTCTGTCCGTCTGTCCGTCTTGTTTGTCGGCTAGTTCTCAAAGACTATAAGAGCTAGAGCCACTAAATGTTGCATCCAGACTGCTATATGCTCACACTGAAACCAGTGTATTTCAAAAAAGAGCCACGTCCCCTTCCGCCCCCGCAAAAGGGCAAAAACCTCCCAAATCTACAGTTTTGAAGATAAAAGAAAACTAACATTCCTTAGGGAATGGCCATATCTATCAGATCACCAAATTGGGATCCGATCGGATAATTATTATAGCCAGAATGAAGAAATTTCGGTGGCTAAACCCACCGTCCCGCAGCTTTTGTTGTTCTTTTTACATTCTCTTATTCACACTGATTCTGCTTCACTCGGCCCCTGCCTCTGCCCTCCCCTTACCGGTGCCTCTTCCGACTTTTAAACCACCCAGCATCAGCATCAATAGCCGAGTCGATAGAGCCATGTCTGTCTGTCCGTCTTGTTTGTCGGCTAGTTCTCAGAGACTATAAGAGCTAGAGCCACCAAATTTTGCATCCAGGCTGCTATATGCTCACACTGAAACCAGTGTATTTCAAAAATTAGCCACGCCCCCTTCCGCCCCCGCAAAAGGGCGAAAACCTCCCAAATCTACAATTTTGAAGATAAAAGAAAACTAAAAACGCCATTCCGTAGGGAATGGCCATATCTATCAGATCACCTATCATGATCCGATTGGATCATTATTATAGCCAGAATGAAGAAATTAATATGCAGTGGCTAAACCCACCCTGTCCCGCAGCTTTTGTTGTTCTTTTCACATTCTCTCATTCACACTCTGCTTCTGCTCCTGCTTCACTCGGCCTCTGCCTCTGCCGCGAGTCTGCAGTGTGTGGGAAGGGCGGCGAGCTAACGGAGCGTGTTGGTGTGAGAAGTGTTGTGGATGTAGATGACAGATGAAGAAAATATTTAAAATTTGACAAAACACCGCTAAGGTGCAGATGTAGTACTAAGTGCCGGGTATAAAAGTTGTGACGCGTAAGAAGCGTCTCACACGTCCCTTCTCGTTTTTTTTTTGTGTGCGGTCGCTGCCTCTGCCTCGAGTCTGCAGTGTGTGGGTCTAGGGAAGGGCGACGAGCTAAAGGTAGATGAGGTAGATGTAGATGAGAGATGAAGAAAAAATTTAAAATTTGAAAAAACACCTCTAAGGTACATTCTTTGTACATTGTACATGTACATTCTTTTCCGGTCGCTGAACAGACCTCCGCCAAAATGAGGAAAATCATGAAGCAGGGCAAGATCGTAATCGTCCTTAGCGGGCGTTACGCTGGCCGCAAGGCCATCATCGTCAAGACCTCCGACGATGGCACCCCGGAGAAACCCTTTGGTCATGCTCTGGTCGCCGGTATCGACAGGTACCCCCGCAAGGTGACCAAGAAGATGGGCAAGAACAAGTTGAAGAAGAAGTCCAAGATAAAGCCTTTCCTGAGGAGCTTGAACTACAACCATCTGATGCCCACCCGCTACACGGCGCATGACATCAGCTTCGAGAAACTGTCGCCCAAGGACCTGAAGGATCCCGTCAAGCGCAAGACACACCGCTTCCAGACCCGCGTCAAGTTCGAGTCCATCTACAAGGAGGGAAAGAACAAGTGGTTCTTCCAGAAGCTGCGTTTCTAAGCTAGAAACTAATGGGATGATGATGATGAATTATTGTCGTCGTTTTTTTTTAAGGTTAAATAAAAAAAAACATGATTCTGATAAGGTGCAGATGTAGTACTGAGTGCCGGGTATAAAAGTTGTGACGCGTAAAAACGTCTCACACGTCCCTTCTCGTTGTATTTTAACTTGTAATAGGGAGCTCAAGGAGCTCAGGGAGCTGGTAAGGGAGAGACAAGAGACCCACACCGCCGTGCAAGGCGGAAGCGAGGCGACAAAAGCCGAGCTGAAGGCTACCGCAAGGAGGAACAGCATCAGCAGATGGCAAACCCAGTGGGACAGTTCACCTAAAGGGCGCTGGACTTATTCCCTCATACCGAAACGGCAAGCCTGGATCGAGAGGAAGCACGGCCAGGTAGATTTTTACCTTACCCAAGCGCTTAGTGGTCAGGGCTGCTTTCGCAGCTACCTCAAGCGCTTCAGCCACGAGGCGGAGGACTGGTGCCCAGAGTGCGGCACCGGCATAGTGGAGGACGCACAGCACGTCCTCTTCGAATGCCACCGGTTTGACCATAAGCGTCACCGCGTGGAGGCAGTAGTAGGTGCCAGGTTCTCTTGGCCGAGCCAAGGGCATGGGAAGCTGCAGCAGAGTTTGCCTCTAGCGTTTTGCGAACTCTGAGAGTTTTGGAGAGAAGGCGTAAGCAGGTGACGGAGTAGGAGCCAGTACCGCGCGCGTTGGGCGCTCACTCCCAAATACGGCCCGCACTCAAAATTGTACAAAATTATAAAGCAAGAAAAGACTAGATTGAAGGAATAATCGAATGAATACAAAAAAAATTCCATTTTTACATTATTAACATTTAACATTTAACATTTCGTATCGAGCTAACATTTAACATACTTTTTAACAACAACGCGAAACTCTTATGAATCAGAAGACTTTGAAAGTGCACACGAAAATAAGGGTACTCCGTAAAAATCGTAATATTCAGGAATCAGAAAATTAAAGTCGCAATCAAATATTTAACACAAAAAAAGTACATTAATGCCAAACGAAGCTAACATTTAACATACTTTTTAACAACAACGCGAAACTCTTATGAATCAGAAGACTGCAAGTGCACACGAAAATAAGGGTACTCCGTAAAAATCTTAATATTCAGGAATCAGAAAATTAAAGTCGCAATCAAATATTTAACACACAAAAAGTATATTAATGCCAAACAAAGGGCATACGATCGAGATGATACAATAAAATTGCCGAATCTCTATCACAAGAGATACAAAATGAGCAAAGACAATTCGAACGGAGAAATGGTTAACGCATCTGGAAACGTGCAACTACCTGAAATTTAGACACCACCTGCTCATCGGCGTTTACCCAGTTTTAAAAGTCTTTCTGAAGTCCATTTGAAAATTTAATTCATGTTCTTATTTGTCAACATAATATCTATTTTGCTCTGTATACGTTTCTTGGCATTTCTCCAGACTTGTTTTTCCTTTAAAAAATTTAATTTATAGAGAAATAGAGATTTTTCGCGAGATGAGTCAATAGCGATATTTATTCAGGTTTGGAAACGCGAAATAGTAACTAAATCCACGGAATATGGTATTTAAAGGACTATTTTGTATCGAAATGGATGGATTTTTGCCATCGAAACTGAAACTTTTGTTTCTTGTTTCTGTGTTTCTTGTCCAAATGTGGTCCTTTCTTTTTGAAATTCTCATTAAACATATCAAGAAAGTGTGCATAATATGCGCCATTGATTGTTTTACCAATTTCCACAAAACTAGCTGTATGGTTTTATTGGCTGAAAAAACCACCTTGGCAGACTTTGGCTATGCGCTGAAGAGCCGGTGTGCTTCTGGTGTGCTGAAATATGTCATTATTGTGGTTTAACCACACCAAACAATCCTTCGAAGTTGTCACACGATTTCGTTCGTGATCGATTGTGAGCAAACGCTGCAGCCATCTTTCGGAAAGCTTTTCCATACCCAACTGATCATTTATAACTAAAACCACTTTAAACTCAAAGCTCAAAAATAATTATTATTGCTTAAGTAGTAAAGTTTTACTCAAAACAAATCATTATGTTGTGGGTAAGACAACAAAATTATACTACTCGTATCAAAGCGACAAAGCGTTGTAGATGTAGATGAAAGATGAAGAAAAAATGTAAAATTTGAAAATAATTTAATACAGCTGTAGTACTGAGTACAGGGTATAAAAGTTGTGACGCGTTTCAATGTGATATCACAGCTTCTAGCTTCTATAGTCTCTGAGAACTAGCCGACAAACAAGACGGATCTTGATGCTGATCAAGAATATACATACATATATACTTTATGGGGTCGGAAACGTTTTCTTCTCTGCGTTACATATGTCCACTTTGTGCAAAAATACAATATACCCTATTTACTCTTCGAGTACCGATAAAAAGGGGTCCATTAAGCTCTATATCAGGGTGCGGCATGGCCCTGTCTATTGTGCATAGGCCGCTCCGTACACATGTGTTACAGTGATTCGTACTAATACCAATGTATTTCGGTTTAAAGTTTTGCGTGCTGTCTTCACAGACAAACGCAAAAAGGAGCGCTCTATATCCACTCTGAAATAACAAAATCCTTCCTGCTTTGCACTTTGGTCATACTGTGCACAGAGCGAAATATATGGAAGCGCATCTGAGTACTGGGCTATCGGCAACGCTTTTTTGGGGACTTCAGAATTAAGTTGCTATAGTTTCAGAGATCGCACATATCGTAAACTCTTGTGCTTCTGAACAATCAGAACAATTTGGAAGTAACTTACTTAAGGGTATAATTAACTTACTTGTTCAAACGGCTTCGTCAATTCCGGGTAGCCGGCAGAAACCAGCCATTCTGCCTCCATTTCACCATCTATGGACAATAACGAGATGGACATAGTAATAACATGACAACATATTAAATTAAAAACATGCATACCTTCGTAATTCACTTCCGGCTCGTTGATAGGGGAATTGGCTTGCAGTAAATACTCGTTGAGAAATTCTGAATAGTCCTGATCAGATGTATTATCCATTGAAGTGTTACTGTTCATTATGTTCTCGATTACAGCGGTGTTTTATTAAACATATGGAAAACGTTCGCTTAACAAATCAATAAAGCGATCCTGATTTTAAGTGGTGGGGCAGATTTCTGCACTGTGTGACATACATACATGTGTACTGTATGATACGTATGAATATTATATTAACTTATTTTACGCTTTCGTATAAAATAAATCTGTAAGCAATAAGACAAGTTTTAATATTATCAACTGTTCAATGATAAAATAGCAATCGGTTTAAATAAGGAAAAATACTTCAAAAACTAATCAAAGTCAAATGCAAACGTAAAGGGATGTGTGAGACGTTTTTATACCCAGTACTCAGTAGTACATCTTTACCTTAGTGGTTTTTTTCAAATCTTACATGTTTTCTTTTTTTTCTACATCTGTCATCTACATCTACATCACTTCTCACTCCAACACGCTCTTTTATCTCTCATTCAATTCTCTCATACAGAAGTTTGGATGCAAAACTTGGTTGCCCTTGTTCTTATGGTCTCTGGGTACAAGGCCCTCATAAGGACGGACAGACGGACAGACAGACATGGCTCTATCGACTCGTCTACTGATGCTGATCAAGAATATATATATAGTTAATGGGGTCGCAACTTTTCCCAGAAATACAATATACCCTATTTAATCTTCTAGTACTCTTAAAATACCATGCTTAATCTTAACTTCGGTGTTTACTATTTTGACGAGACATTTTACAAAGCGGTACTTTTCGATAAGAATTTTTGGAACGCAGAATAAATGATTGCTCTGTCCGGAAGCGTACCAAAGAGTTTGACTAAAAGGCAGATGGTGTAATTAAATCAAAACCTAATCTGTATACACTCACTTTTTTATTTAACACAATTATATATATATTAAACATATAAATTTAAATAACTGAGGATCGCTTTTGTATTCGAACAATTTATTTTTTTCAGGTGGTCGATGGTTGATGGCAAGACCAAAACCATTTTTAAGTCGTTCTATGAAATATATGAGAGTGCATTGACAACTAATTTCCCATTACTTAAATTCAGGAAGTGCTAGACACGCGATTGGGTTAGAGAGTACAGGAGAGCACTACTAAATTTTTCAAAAACAACTGTGGACTGTGGAATGAAAAGAGTGAAGTGGTTTTATATGGTAACATGGAGTACAGAGATAATGTTTGGAGTTCATAGAAAGTCGATATGTAGCACAAACAATTTAACAAAATTCTGTTAAATATTTCGAGTTTAGCCTTATGAACCCCAGCCCATAAGAAGTATTACTTCCTAGTCTGGCAAGGACGTATTTCACGAAGTCGTGTGTGCCAGCGTACTTTTTAATACATCACAGAAAATCTTCTCAAAAGGATATTTCAACAGGATAATGATCCGAAACAATCAGAAGCTGTCTAGGAATTGGGTTTCATCTGTAAAGATCGACGGTTTTACCATGTTCAGCTCAGTCAGTGGATTATTATCTCATCTTATCTGGGAATGCAAAAACAAAAAGATGGAATGAACATGTAACGGGATTTTCTCAACCTGCTAATGCATATGTACATATGTGCATATGTATCTACAGTAAGCACATACCATCATCACCCTTGTTTGAACACCTATTACTTGGCGTACTGTCAACGTAAGCAGGAAAAGTTAATTTTGTATCAAAGACCAACATACCTACTATATGTTTATGAAAAAATTTTGAAAAATTCATTTTTGTTTGCTATATTTAGTCTTTATGATGACTAATAGCTCTAGAAACAATCTTTCCCCCAAGGTATTATTGCCCAATGAATTAATATTGACCCCCTTCACAAGCAGTACAGGTTGCATTAGCTCCCTCGATGAAATTTTGAACTTCCTTATTCTTTTTTTACAAATTTTGCCGCACAGGCTTCATGATACTCAAGTTTACTAACCGATGTGACATTTTCAGCTGGTTGCAGTTTTAAGTGAGCCAGATTTGTTCCAAAAAGATTAA